CCATCGGGTTCCAAAATAAGAGAATGTGAGCGAGGTGCCTGTACCATTTTTCGCACAATGCCTCATGAAATCTTTACATGACGATGCCCCTCCTATGAGCAGAGATTTACTACTCTAGCAAAACGGACTAATCACATCACTGGTATACTTCAAAGACTATATCCGTTGGATTATAGACCGATACCAACGTTGCGGCTCGTATTCAACAGCCATTTTTAAAGGTAGACCATATTATTGCGTTGTTTATTAGTACACAGCTTTTCGTGTTAATCATGTTCTATATCTGATCATACGATAAATGTCAGATCCTGTGATAACTTTGACGTTTAATATCCGGAAAATGAAACATTACGTAAATTTATGCGCTCACGTCGACATTGCACTAATCAGGCGATGATCGTTTCGTCATCGTCACTGATAATGATCTGTCAGGTTTACTAGCCGTTCTTCTGATTATAATATTAGCAAAGAATTAAAGATAGTCACTAATGCATCAGTTAGTGAACCTGAGCTACCTAGCGTTTTTTGGTTTATTACCGTAAAAATTACTTAAGAATAAGTCATTCCCTCTGCTTAATTTTTTCAGATCTACGGCTTTGTCGCCAGATAGGATGTTTGTGAACAACCTCAGATGCGTGCGTATGCGTTGGATGATACTGAGCAAAATTTGCATGCACCCGTACTTGCTACATGCTCCGCTCGACAAAGATGGTGCCATTGTGGTGAATGAGAATCTGGTCAAAGCGTCAGGCAAAATGATGTTACTCGACAGGCTTCTTTCAAAACTAGTTCCGCGTGGTCACAAGGTTAGCTGCTTTAACTTGGTTTTAGCCAAACAACAGTTTGAAGCTAAAAATGTACTCTTTTTTGTAATAGTATTTTTCACACCAGTGCATCTTTATTTTTAGATTCTATGATGAAAGTAAATTTTCTCACAGTGCTCGTACTTTTTGAAACCTGGATGAAGTCTGGCAAAAATATGCACTTCAGAGTTTTCATGATGATCCATGAAAAAAGTTTCTCCAAAGTTTTCACTTGCCTGATACCATGTCATTTGGGGCTGTTTGTTATCCGCAGATTTTAGATGTCATTCTTTTCCTAGAAATCTTTTGAGACATTAGAGATCTGGAGATCTAATTAGATTCACACCACAGATATTAGGTATCTGCACTATTTTTTTTTGTTCAGCACAAACGTGTACAGTAAATCTTCCTTTTAGATTCTCATATATGCACAAATTTTGGATATAATGTCTATCATTGGCGATTACTGTTCCCTGCGTTCATTTAAATTTTGTCGTATCGATGGTACCATGAGCATGACAGAACGTCAGTCTGAGGTTAGTGCTTGTGGTTTTTTGTCTTGGCTTGAGACCCTGCAGAATCTATTTATGTTTTTCAGATTGATGCGTTTAATAAAGACAAAAGCATTTCTCTCTTTCTACTCAGTACTCGGTCAGGTGGTCTCGGAATTAACCTGACGGCTGCCGACACCGTTATCTTTTTTCAGAGTGACTGGGTACGTCGTTATACGTCGTTTAAATCGTATTTTTACAACGCGATTTCATACAATTTAGAATCCTCAGGCTGATCTGCAGGCCGAAGATCGTTGCCACAGAATTGGCCAGGACAAACCCGTCCTGGTATTCAGGTTCGTAGTTCAAGGAACGATCGACGAGATCGTTTTCAACCGTGCATCAACGAAACGACGATTGGAGAAACTTGTCATTCATTCCGGTAACTGACATTAAATTCGATTTTTCTTTCTCCAGCTCGTATCAGGTTATTGACTGACGTATTTCAGACCGATTCAAAGGCATAAATCCAAACTCCGCCAAATCTGAAGATCTCACGGATCTAATATCAGATACTGATTGTAGTGAAATCATTCAGTTTAAAGGCGGCGACTTCTCTTCGTTTCTCTCTGATTCAGAGTTGGAACGTATTCTCGATCGATCACAACTTACCAGTTAAAAGAACGCAGTTAACATTTTGATTGTACCTTGCACTATTTTGTCAGTAAATTACTTTATCAGTTACAGAAAAAGCGGCTATTTATTCAGTAGATGACGCAAACTCTTCAACGAATGGCACTCATTTTAATGCAGTGGTTAAATCCAGATAAAGCTTAGCGGGGGGCTAGTAGGTCGTTAGGTGATATGCGCCCAAAGATTGAAGAAATTTGAATAACTCCTTTTCAGACAGGTTTATTTGTCAGAGATGGTCTTTGACCATTCTAAATGAGATCGAGTCTCAAAACGAGCTTCAAAACGGACCAATAGTCACTGAAATTTGAAGACTTGGGCAGTCAAGGGCTAACCTTGCAGGTAGTTTAGATTATTTCCTGTAGAGACCAGCAATTCAGCAACTACTTGTTACGAAACAATAAATTTCTTCTCAGTAAGTCTACCTTTTGTCTTCATCTTCTTCATCTTCCATCGCCGCTTCTCCTTTCGGGTCGCGGAGGCAGACGCGTCAGACAGT